TTTTTTTTAAATACCTTAAGCTGACATTTCATTCTTTTGTTATTTTCACAGTTATACCAACATGACCTCCAGAATATCAAGTACAGACAGAGGGATTTTGTGTTATTGTGGACTACCGTCTCCGTTGCTAACGTCACGTAAGGAGCATAGCTTTGGGAGGCAGTTCTATGGTTGTGTCAGGGGTGTTTCAGCTCGTTGTGGTTTCTTCCGGTGGGCTGATAGTCCCTCATATTACACTGACAGTAGTCATGCCAGCAGTCATGTGAATCCGATGTTTTCTCCGGCTGACAGTGCAGATGAGGACCGACGTAGCCAGAGTCTTAAGTTGAATATTTTAATATTTCTCCTTGTTGTTGTACTTGTATTTGCCCTTTTTTTAGTTCTCCTGGTACTCATTAATGTGTGAGAACTGTACGGTATCTTTTAGAACTGATATGTGATTATCGTATGTTTCTGCACCATGTTTTTTTCTATCAATAAGCTATTCTGAATAAGCTGCCCCAAACAGTTTAATCAGACAGGGGTAGGAAGGTCATTTAACTACTAATAAGCCAGTCTGAATAAGCTGCCCCAAACAACAAGCCAAATTATTCTGATAATCTGTAAATTATCAAATTATCAGAATAATCTGCTTATTAGCAGATTATAAATAATCCACAGCTGTGCCAAACAGAGCCTTAGTTTTATGCTTCTCTTTTATGGGCCAATAATATGTGCCATAAAGCATTGCAGGTCTCACCACCATCTTATAAAATTATCCTTTAAGTCTAAGTAGAACTTTTTTATCACACAATAGGCTCGATGCATTCCTCCACTTCAACAATCCAACTTCAATTCTACTAATAACATCCCCATATATAACACCGTCACTTTGAACAATAGACTCGATATATCTATAACGTTCACTACTTTTAATGATTTGATCACCCATTATTACAGATCTGCCAATAGATCTACTACTACTAAAATTACATTTCATTCTTTCAATTTTAGATTTACGCACACGAAAGCCTTTAGATTCTAAAGTAGACCTCCATAATTCAAGTTTTTCCTAAAATCTTTCTCTAGTCTTATCCACAAGAAGGATATCACCAACGAAAAACATGCAATAAAGTACATTCTTCTATAAACGTTTAGTAAGAGCATTTATAACTAAAGTAAAAAGATATGAGCTTAAAGCTGGTCCCCAATGTAATCCAACTGAAGTAGAAAAAATTAGTCAATCCTCTTTCTGTTTGAACACAATTAACAATTCTACTATACATAATCTTTAATGACTTGAATATAAGTTATATCAAAACTTTTCTTTTCTAGAACTATCCAAAGAATTTCTCTTGGAACCTTATCATAAGCTTTTTCAAAATCAATAAAAATCATATGTAGATCCTTACTCTCTTTGTACTTCTCCATCAAAGATCTCAATAAATGTATAGCTTCCATGGTAAACTTGCCCGGCATAAGTTCAAACTGATTATGATTAAGTTATTTAAAATAAAAACACATTTTCACGGATATGTTTTGATGTGATTTAAACACTGAAGTGGTATTTAAATAAATATAAAGGGCTAGGTGCTAGATATGTAAATACATAACGTATATCTCTCAATCCTTTACCATCAGAAAATCAAACAGCATAGAAGCCATGAATTTCAACATGTTTTTACTACCCTCATTCATATTAAATTTAAACTAACGATCTTAATGTTCCGATTTTAAAAACTTGTTTTTATTTAATTCTTTAGTCCTCTTTATCAACTTATTTAACCATAATATCCACCACTTCTATTTCACATCATGTGAATTGAGTACAAATCCTCTACCACTTCTTATCAGGAATTACATGATTATATGGAAGATTTCTAAAATACATAAAAGGTTCGTTTACATAGTTAGTCCGAGCTATCAAAAGACTTATTGGTATTTAAGCATATTGTTTCGATTGATACCACTTCGTTAAGAGTTTCTATCAAACAGGATATCATGGCGATTAAATGCTTGGAATGCAATGCCCATATAGAAATTTTACTTAGCGCTAAGAAAGTGATTGATGTATAAAAGCAGTATAAGATTGGATGTCAACAATGTTTCCCAGACAATATCTAAACATAGTCCTTCCACATCAATTGAAAATTCTATCGGTAAATACTCCGCATATAATGCTAAAATTTAAACAAGAACTTGCAGAATTGTCAAAACCCTTGAACCCCTCTACTAATTAATGAAAAACCGAAAAAAAAACGTGAATTATACGCAAGTTCTTTACCTATATTCTGAAAAAATGCGACCGTTTCTTGGCTTTATTGATTCGCGCAGACATGCAATAACTAAACAGCAATCGAACAAATCCTTGCAGAGAAAAAGAACGAAAAGCACCACGGATCCCTGCTTCTGAGAAAAAAGAAAGAAGGAATGTCGATGGAGAGAAAATTACTAGCCTGTAGATGAGGAGGCTGGTAAGGAATCTGGGCATGAATTCTCTGACGCAGGAGAATGAAAAGGACGAGCATTTCGTTTTGTGGAAACGGACAAGGGAGCGCTTCGGCGGATTAAAAAAATGCGAAAGGAAGCAGAGAGGATGGTGGCGTAGAGGAAAGTACTCCATGTGGAAAAAATATTTACTTAAGTCATAGGAACTCAGAAAGTGTGTGTACTCCAATTATTTATGGTATATCGGAGGATTATGTTGGTATTATTATGGTAAATATCCCCAATAACCTCACAAAATCACGCAAAAAACATGAGGTGAACTACGGAAGGTATTGATAGTTTATTTGGAGGTTATTGAGATGTTATTGAGGTTAATACATTCAATAACCTCTCAAAAACCTACAGTAACTGAGTTATTGGAAGGTTATTAGGGACAGTACGCACGCAAAACTAAGTGTGTATAACGTACCTAAATAACACTCCTTAGCAAGGTTTTTTCATTCATTGAATTGGGGTTTTCGGTCGGCCCAATATTACACTTATGGTCTGTTATTGGCCTCGAACAGTGAGTCTCGATAACGCCTGTGAGATGACCGGTAATGTTAAGTTTTTTCTTGAGTCGGGTTATGGTGAGAGACATATCAATGCCTCTGTTAGACTCAATTGGCCTTGGTTTTCGGTACATATGTCCTGGATTCGGTCAGCCTCTAATCCCGATTCAGGTGGGTTGCATTTAATTAGGGGGTTACCAAAATAATCGACCTGCAAAGCTATATTGATTCAGTTGAGTTTTGCCGACCCAATTATAATCTAAATGTACATACCAAAATCATGAGCTTACAAACTTCATAATCTATAAAATAAAGAGTATTATACAAGTAAACAAAGTCACACTGATCATCAAATGAGTTATTTTCAATGGAATAATTATACAGCAAACACCTTAAAATTGTAGCATTGTAATATTTATTTAATGACTTATACCCTAGAGTGCATAACCTCATGTAAAAAGTTTAATATCTCAAACTGTGTAAAAAAATTACTGATTTACTTGATTGTTCCCACATTGCTGATTATTACCACCCGTAATATTATTCCAGTTAAAGTTGGGATGGTTCTTCCAACCTGGGTTATAATACTTTGAATATGGGCTGTTCTGCTTGTTATTTATGACATTCAAAGTTTCTAACGATGCTTGAGAATCTCCCATTTATCCTAATGAATTCTCTTCAATCATGGAAATTGGTTGAGAGAAATTCATTCCATATATGTTTAACTTCCTTGAAATTGCAGCAACTTGATTTGCTAACATAGTAAATGCACCAGTTGCATGAATATTGACTACTTTCTTTGGATTTACCCTCTCACAAGGCCATTGAAAACTATTGGTAGTCATTTCTTCAATTAAATCATAAGTGTCATGAAATGATTTTGACATCAATGAACCACCAGCAGCGGCATCGATAATAGATCTAAGAGATCCAACTAATCCATTATAAAAAGTTTGAATTATTAACCAATCTGGTATAGCATGGTGTGGAAACTTTCTTAATAGTTCTTTAAATCGTTCTCATGCTTTATAAATAGATTCCCCTTCAAACTGATTAAAAGATGTAATACCATTTCTAAGTTTCACAGTTTTTTATGGTGAAAAATATTTAACAAGGAATTTTTGTACTAAATCACCCCAAGTTCTGATAGATCCAAGTGTTAAAAAATTCAACCACATCTTAGCTTTATCTCTCAGTGAGAAAGAAAATAACATAAGTCTTATGACATCATCTGATACACCATCATATTTAAATGTAGCACACAATTCTAAAAAAATGGCAAGATGTAAATTTGGATCTTCAGTTGGTGATCCCCCAAACTGATTATTTGATACCATTTGAATAATAGCAGGTTTAAGCTCAAATGAATTAGTCACTACAGTAGTTTTTTGAATACTACAATGAAGTTCATCTACAGTAAGGTCGACATAATCTCGTAAAGGTCTAAACTCTTGATGAATTTCAGCATTTTGATTGTTTTGGTCTGCCTTTTCTGTAATTTTTTTAGATTTTTAATAATTTTTTATTTTTCTGGTTTTTTTTAGCAGTTTCTCTCTAATTCAGAATCGTAGGGCACTAGTCCTTTAGAACCTGAACTATGCATTCACTAACATAAAATAAAATAAAATGAAATAAAACACAAAATAAAATACAATAATTGCTAAATTTTAAATAAGACATTCTAAAAATAGAAATTAGCTTTTAAATCAATTAATTTCCCCGGCAACGGCGCCAAAAACTTGATCCCCGATACTGCTTAGTCTCTTATTATATTATCACTTATATTTCTTTACTTTGCAACATAGTCAAAACTTGATCTTGAAGAAAATAAGAATTTTAACTCTTTAATTTATATGTTGGGATACTACGCAAGTATACATATCGTTATCAAGTAATATAGAACTTTTTGATTAAGACTTGAATACAGACCCACAAGGAAAATATGTAATATGCTCTATTGAACAACAAACTTCCATTTCAAAAAGACAATTCCTTAAACTAGAGATGTATTCACAGTAAATAAAATTCAAATCTTTTTGGTATTTTTGATATTTTGACAAAACAGTAACAATTTAAAAAGATAACTTGAGTTTATATAAAGAAAAGCACTAAATTTTAAATCTCTCTCATTATCATGAATCGGTAGTAAGCATAGGAATTATGTTTTGGTAGTATGCAAATTGTGTTGTGTTAAATAGGAGCAATTATATTATTTACCCTTACTAGAGATGCTATAAAGAATATTGACTAATTTAAAGTTTGAATAGTTCTGAAGACCGGCTAGGCAGGGAAGATACCAGCTCTCACT